CTTCAAGCCTTTTCAGACTCTGAAGACCTGGCAGTAGTCAGCGGTGAATGATCCTAACATCTTCCCGAAGGGTACAGAATTTTTCAGAAATACATTCCTGTTTCTTTTATGATTTGAAGTCCAAGCAACCTGATTTTCTATAAAGCTATTTTTATTCATTGTACTCCAACTGCCTCTCTGAACTTGAAGCTTCTATATATACCTATGGCTTTAAATGCTTTATGTTACACCATAGCCCAAAAGTGTCCTGGAAAAAAGAAGGGCATCCCATTTTTTTCTCATGAGAAGGTGGCGGCCGTTCTGGGCGCCATGATCTCATGTGATTTCATGCTATGATTTCACCCCGAAAAAGTACAGGGGGTGCGTGATTTTGCGCGGTGCCCCAAAACACATGTTTTTGGGGCGCTGTGCCTGATAAAATGCTTTCTTCAAGGGAAGGGGATCACGGTGTGAAATTGTGTGAGATCACAGCGCCCAAAATGGCCATCCTCTCTTGAGGAAAAAAACAGGAAGATGGCATCCCAGAAGATCATTTTTGCCTTCGATGTGTTGGAAGCTATGATTGCACACCTGGTAAAAGGACGTTTTGGTCTTAAACAGGAAGCATGATACACCAGAGTGAGTCTGGTGTCTCCAAATTCCAGATGGGTCAAAAGTGTAAAAGAGCAGCAAATAATGATGACATCTGTCATATGAACTTTGCATTTTTACAGCCCATCTGAAGGTGCAAGGCTGGGAGGTTGGTTATGAGAAGCCCTCCCTCCTTGCACTTCCTACTTTAAAAGGCCAAATTCTGTATTACAAATCCCACATGCAGACAGGTATTGATGGCCACATTTCAGTTTCATATTGGCTGGCCTCTTGTCCTGTCAGGACAGGATACATTGTGGCTTTCAAAGAAGTTCAATAAAGTTTATCAAGTGGGCAGGATCCGTTCTTGTCTATTACACCAAGTGTTTTGACAGCCAACCGTACAGTGGTACCTCAGGTTACAAACACCTCGGGTTACAACCACTTCAGGTTACAGACTCCGCTAACCTGGAAGTAGTACCTCGGGTTAAGAACTTTACCTCAGGATGAGAACCGAAATCGCGCGGCGGTGGCAGCGGGAGGCACCATTAGTTAAAGTGGTACCTCAGATTAAGAACAGTTTCAGGTTAAGAACGGACCTCCGGAACGAATTAAGTTCGTAACCAGAGGTACCACTGTATTAGGAAATGCCCACTCTGCCTCAGCCTCTGTTTTGTCTCTGTATGGATATTGGGTCATCATTTGTAATAAGCTGCGATTTAGCACAGCCTTTGCCATTCCTGGTGCCCCATTGGGTGGTGGTTGTTGTTTTCGACTACAAATCCCCCCAGCCAGCATGGAGTTGTGTAAGAGGTGTACTCCAGAAACATCTGGAGGGCACCAAGGTTGGTTAGACCTAACCAGTGTTAGAAATTAGCCAGGGGCGTTTTGCGACTTGTGTGGCTCCAGTTGCAACCAGATGGAGATCTCTGGATTCCAGGCTGGGAATCTCCATCTGGCTGGCTTACTTTCTTAAGCAAGTAAGCAGAAGACGTTATTTGCTACATTTGTATTCCAGCTTTTTCTCCAAGGTGTCTATGGTTCACCCCCATTCCTCATTGAATCCCTAAAACGACCTTGTGAAGTAGACTAAGAGGCTATGGCCAGTGAGCTTCATGACTGAGTGGGGGATTTGAACCCTGATCTCCCAACTTCTAGTCCGACACTCTAACCACTACACCACCCTGGCTTCCTGGAGCACTTCTGCAATGGGGCAGCTCTATAAATTAAGTTGGTAAACAAACATGGCGAAAGCAAAAGGTCACTTAGAGAAGGACCTGAAATATTTTTTCTTGAAGCTTGAATTTGTTTTATTCTGGATGGTTTTATTTGATGTTTTAATAAGTTGTAAACCGCTTTGAAGTGTTTTTTTCTTTAAAATAAAAAGTGGAATAGAAATGTAACAAAAAATAAAAAATAAATTTCATTGCAAAAAAAGGCATCTAGAGATTATTGTTGCAGCGACTGCAACATAGTTTTAAGGTGCACTTTGGAGATTAGCTTACATATCTGGGTTCCAAATACTTCCTCAGTTTCTCCCTGATCTGAAGCTTACAGACAAATGCAGGCTAAAAGCGACATCTAAAAAATTCACATCGCTGACCCCACAACCCCTTTCAGGCAGAGGCTCTAATCATCTCCTACTAATTAATAATCCATGGTCTCTTTGTGTATGGAAAATTACAAAAAAAAATTAACAATAATATTGTGGTCAAGCAATTAAAATTCCAATGCTCAGTTCCTTCCTCATCCCCACTGCCGGTACTTTCACCCTCCACGCCGAAAATGACAGGAAACGAGGAAGCGGCAATTGAACAAATTAATCCTCTGGCACTTGCCAAGGGCTCGGCGATTGTTGCTTGCTTTGCAAGGCAAGGCAGAGCAGTTGTTTCAAAAAAGCACTTCATTTGTGCGCAATCCTGCCAAGCCCCCAAAACATTTCCACAATTAATCCTTTGTTACTATTCGCAGATGACATTTGGGAAGGTGGAGGGGGGGGCGGAAGTAAAGAAGAAAAGCATGCGTCCAACAAAGGGAAGGCAACAGGGCAAATTTGATCAAATATATGAGACTAAGAAGCTTCCGGAGCGTCTTATGACTCGTGCAGGTTGCAAAAAGCAGCAACAAAAGGGACTACAGTTCATTGTCTGGGGAGGGCCTGTAGCTGAGAGGTGGGACAACTGCTTTGCATGTAGAAGGTCAGGATCAATCCCCCAGCATCTCCAGTTGGAGCTGTCTATGTAAACAGAATATTATCAATCAAAGATCTGATTAAGAGCCATCAGCCCGGCTTAAAGGAAGTCATCGTTTGGCAGCAGTCGCCTATTGAGATCCTTATTCTTCTTCGGCGATCACTCATAGCCGAGTAAGATTGTCTTCCGTAAACACAGTTTTAAAAGCAAGTATGTAAGTGACTCTGGAGGCCAATTCTGGATCCACACGTCCTTCCAGAGTGGGGAAATAGGTTTACGGATGGGAGTTGATCACAGTGAGGGTTTGCCAAGCGTGCTTTCCTCTTAGCACGTTTCTCCCTTTCGTCCTGAGTTCGTGCGTCTTCAAAGAACCATGACACCTTTGGTAAAGGCTGTTCTCTATGAATGATGGTGGCCACAACCTCCTCAAGCAAAAAACTTGGGATGGAGGATCACCTTGAGCCTGCAGAATGCCAGAATCCCATCAAAACCGACTGGATCGGAGCAGGTTTCGTCAAGCATCATGCTTCCCACAATAGTCAACGCCCATCATCGGTACGTACGCCCTCAGTGCAACCTTTGGGCCAAAACAGGTGAGCCAACCCTGTTCAGTAGCTTAGGACCTGGCACCAGGTAGACTACCCCTGAACATGGAGGCTCTGTAACCTGTCACGTATTGCTGAGTGGGGGAAGCACATATTGTTAACCCCACCCCCACCCCCAGTATTAAAGCCTATGCATTTAGGATCTCCTCCAATGGTCTCTCTGGTACATGGCAGAAATTCACAGAAGCCTGAGAAAGAAGCAACATGGGTTTAAAAGTAAAGGGACCCCTGACCATTAGGTCCAGTCGTGGCCGACTCTGGGGTTGTGGAGCTCATCTAGCTTTATTGGCCGAGGGAGCCGGCGTACAACTTCCGGGTCATGTGGCCTGCATGACTAAGCCGCTTCTGGCGAACCAGAGCAGCGCACGGAAACGCCGTTTACCTTCCCGCCGGAGCGGTACCTATTTATCTACTTGCACTTTGACGTGCTTTCGAACTGCTAGGTTGGCAGGAGCTGGAACTGAGCAACGGGAGCCCACCCCATCATGGGGATTCGAACCGCCGACCTTCTGATCGACAAGTCCTAGGCTCTGTGGTTTAACCCACAGCACCACATGCGTCCCAGGTTTAACAAGGGTTTACGGAGGGCAAAACATGCAGCCACCTTTGCAAAGCTGCCCCCCCAAGGCCCCAATACTGGGTAGCAGAGAGACCTCCGGTGCTCTCCTTTCCCTCACTACATAAAACCTATTTCTGTTTTACCAAGTCAGATGAGCAACTTGATAATTCACAAGGGACTTGCCCTTTACGGCGGAGAAATGCCACATACCAGGAGTTCAGGCATAGCACTTTCAGTATGTTTGAGTGAATCTCAAATATTTGCAGAGCAGCATGGCAGGGAACGCCAGGAGTTGCGAAACAAGACAAACTTCTTCTCGCAAAATACTTTAAAAAGACGTTTTCTGTTCGTGGGTACCTAGCCGTAAATTCAGAATCTTTCTTGGCTGCAAAGTAATTTGTGCTTCCTACAGTTGAAATATTTCATTGCGTTTCATGTTGAGCATTTGGACCCCCCTACCTTTGAATATTTCATTCCCAAGTTAGTAGGCAACCTCTGTCTTTCCAGATGTTACTAGACTTTAAATCCCATCAGCCCCAGCCAGCATAGCCAAAATAGTTTTAAAAAATCAATTCAGGTAAGATAGGAGAGAAAGTATAAGAGGGCGAGGGAGACCATGAATCACTATCGTAGCACTGAAGGATGAAAGTAGTTCAGAAAGTTTACACAACAAGGAACTTGGTTTATAATGCTACAAAATAATGAAAGCTACAGGACGCTTCTACTACATATTGAGATGTACTCCTTTCACCATACCCAATCTCAACAAAGGATCCTTCACTTTGGCAGGTCATAACAATGAAAGCTCATTGACAAATATTTGTATACAGACTAATAATGTATTTGGTCCAAATTTCATCCCACTGAATGTTGACTTCATTTTCCCATGCTTAAATCTACTAGCAGTCTCATACCCAGCATTGCTCAGGAATCCTAAGAAAGCAAATGATTCGCGCAGTTCCTAAACAATGATTAAAATCAGTGTAATTTTGAAAGGCTCCACAGAAGCATATAATTACAGAGTTGGTCCCCAAGAGTCATCTAGTCCCATCCCCTGCAATGCAGAAATCTTTTTGTCCAACATGGGACTTGAACCCACAACCCCGAGATTAGGAGTCTTGTGCACTACCAACTGAGCTATCCATCCACCATTTTAATTTAAAATGGCATTCAACTGTATACAAACACAGACCCAAACCTGCTCCTTGGTCTTCAGAAACCACCATGCAAAACTGGGTTACGATATGTTGAGAGCTGTACAAATGAAGAGTGAGCAGACAAGTCACTTCTCAAAATAAACAAGCAGACTGGCGGAAGGTACCCAGAGTTGCCTGGGAATTCTAAAGGGCCCAAAATTGCTGTGATTTATAAATTGAGCATTTTGGCCGCCATTTTCTGAACCTTTTCCAACTCTACAATGTCCTTTTCGAGGCGAGGCAACCAGAACTTTGCACAGTACACCAAATGCAGTTGTGCCATAGATTTGTACAATGGCATTATGATATTGGCAGTTTCACTAAAGAAAAGGAAGGAACTTTTTATCACATGTGGTGGGAATGTAAAAAAGTGAAAAACTTCTGGGAAATGATTTATAAAGAAGCCAGAAGCATTTTTACTTGGCATTGTAGGAGATGATATTAAAAGACAGGATTGTAAGCTGTTTTTATATGCAATGACAGCAGCAAGAATATTACTGGCACAAAAATGGAAGCAAGAAGAATTACCGACGAAAGAAGAATGGAGGATGAAGTTGATGGACTATGCAAAATTAGATAAATTAACAGGAAGGATTCGAAACCTGTGGGATCAGAGATTCTTAGAAGACTGAAGTAAATATATGAACTATTTGAAAAGTAATTGTGATGAACAGATTATGCTAGTAGGACTGTAAGAAGTTTTGTTAGGTGGATTATTTGAAATGTTGCAAGAAAGACTGTGAAAAGAATTATTATTAGACGTAATACAGAAATTAAGAATAAGTGATAAAGAATGGAAAATCATCAGAGGTCTTGACGGAAGTCTAAAATATTGTATGAGATGAGAAGTTATGTTGTATGACTGTTGGAACGGATATGTTAAGAAATCAATAAAAATGTATATATAAAAAAAGATATTGGCAGTTTCACTATCAATTCCTTTCCTGGCATTTTCACTGAGCTATTAATGATGACCTCAAGGTCTCGGTAAAAAGTGCGGAGAGCTGAAGGAGGAAGTTGGACGAGCGAAACTCTTTCCCGCTTCCTCTTTCAGCTCAGTGTGCTTTTTCAAGGCTCAGATGTGTTCTACCGGAGCTAACTTTTACCCAGATCCCTTGGGAAAGCTGTATGTCTGCATGTGTGTTTCCTTGGGTGACCTGATTTGGGGAGGTGGGGGGGGGGAGTGATCAGAGGAGGTGATGCCAACAACACTCACTCTAAAATCCACATGTGCACACAAGCCAAAATGCCCTCTGATTGGAGGCCAGTTTCCTTGTTCAAACTTGGATTGTGACACATTTCCTGTCGGTGCACCATTTCTGGGCATTTGCATGCTCACTCAACAGGATCTTTCCAACTGCTGCATTTTGGACTGCAACAACTTTTCCCCTAGGGGGGAAAATTGCTTAATACGTCTAGGCAGGTTTTTTTCATTGTCTGGAAACACATTATGTAATCTGGGTGTTTTACTGAAGTTGTTCCTGGTTCTTGGGCCCTGCCGTCATAGGATAACCCTTTGTCCCTCCACCAGTTTTCGCTTTGTCGTAAGACCATTTATCGGGATTATATGAGTGAGCAAATTGGAGAACGGAGGCGCCTGTATGTCACATGTTCTTGGCAACAAGACAGTATTTGTCTTACCTTCTAACAATCACAGTTTATCTCAATTAGCCCTGGTGTTAGGAATACTTACATAACTTGCAGATAACCCTTATCGTTACATCCGTACGGCATCAGCTGGCAAGTGTCATTATTCGTTCGGAATCTCTTGCCTGAACATACTGAGGACTAGGAACAGAGACCCACTCTTCAAAAACCGTCAGAATTCAGAGAACCAGATTCAGAGAACTGCAAGTTAATTTAATTTACTGGTAGATCTCTGTCTGATTTGCAGAGATTTCTGATTCCCATGTCTTTAGCTGAAGAGGAGCTAAAAGTCATGCCTTTCTCTGTGTGCTCCAGTTCTGGTGCTCAAAGCAAATTCCTGGACTCGTAGTTCTTTGACTTGTACATCTTTTGAACCAGGTTCCCTCAGAAGTTTGGGAAAGGAGGCCTGGAAGAGGGCTATCTTTGTGGCAACCTCTAGATCAGGGCTTCCCAAAAAATAGGTCTCCAGCTGTGTTTGGACTACAACTCCCATCATCCCTAGCTAGCAAGACAAGTGGTCCGGGGTGATGGGAATTGTAGTCCAAAAACAGCTGGAGGTCCTTTTTTGGGGAAACCTTGCTCTAGATTGTGGAAGACTCTCACGCACCCCCAAATAGATGAATCTAGCATCTTCACTGTATAGCTTCCACCCCATGCTGAAAACACGCCACTTACCCATGGGTATTTGAGAATTAAGGTACAGTGGTGCCCCGCAAGACGAATGCCTCGCAAGACGGAAAACCCGCTAGACGAAAGGGTTTTCCGTTTTGGAGGTGCTTCGCAAAACGAATTTCCTATGTGCTTGCTTCGCAAGACGAAAATGTCTTGCGAGTTCCTGCAGGGTTTTTTTCCTTTTTCCCTTTTTCCCAAGCCGCTAAACCGCTTATCAGCTGATGGCTAAGCCGCTTAACAGCTGATGGTAAGCCGCTTATCAGCTGATCGTTAAGCCGCTTATCAGCTGATCCTTAAGCCGCTTATCAGCTTATCGTTAAGCCGCTTATCAGCTGATCTACTAAGCCTGCTAAGCCGCTAATACTGTAGCACTAATCCGCTAAACTGCTAATGGGCTTGCTTCGCAAGACGAAAAAACCCGCAAGACGAAGAGACTCGCGGAACGGATTCTTTTCGTCTTGCGAGGCACCACTGTATTTTTGTTTCTGTGTGACCCACCTCTGTTGCTGATTTTATGCTGTTCTGCTCCATTTGGAACGGTTTTACTTGTTTTATAATTGCGACTCTTTAATCCATCTTTTTATAATTGTCTATTCTGTTGCTGCAACCTGCCGGGGGACCTAATGGCGAAGGCGGGGAAGACATTTTGGGTTGTATTCAGGGTTTGTCATCCTCAGAGTAGACACACAGGTCCATTAATTTCAAGGGGTCTACTCTGAGCATTAACAACACAAGATGCTGCCTTGTGCTCTCTCTCTCTCTCTCTCTCTACTGTATAGTGTAAAAAACCACCCCAAAACAAGGCAGATTCCACAAGCCTTGAGTCCACCCAAAAGTACATTAACAAGAAGTTTAAAAATTTAGCTGGGAAGCTATCTGGAGTTTGTCCTTATTCTCCAACTCCCCTGACCTTTTGTCTCGTTTTTTAAAAGATGGTGAACCTGCAGGGAGAAGTTTGTGTTGTTGCTTACTTTAATCTCTCTCTCTCTCTCTCTCTCTGGTGTCTAGCACCTATTAGTGCTTTTTTGGGGGGTGGACTATATGACCCTTGGAGACCCTTCAAATCCTATGAACTTGGGGCACCAACTCTGTCCAGCACATTCACCATCTGAGCATGAACCAGAGAAAGACAGATAGTTACAGGGAACCAGGCAGAGGGTCTTCTCGGTTGTGGTGCCCTCCCTGTGGAACGCCCTCCCACCAGATGTCAAAGAGAAAAACAACTACCAGACTTTTAGAAGACATCTGAAGGCAGCCCTGTTTAGGGAAGCTTTTAATGTTTGATGTATTACAGTATTTTAATATTTTTTTTGGAAGCCGCCCAGAGTGGCTGGGGAAGCCCAGCTAGATGGGCGGGGTATAAATAATAAATTATTATTATAATATTATTATTATTATAGACAGAGAGAGAGAGAGAGTAATACTTTAGATTGCACTGCTCTCATTGACTATTAAGGAATGAGATAGCTTAGTTGGTAGAGCAAGAGACTTATAAACTCAAGAGTCATGGGTTCGAGCCTCACGTTGGACAAAAGATTCCTGCATTGCAGGGGGTTGGACTAGATGATCTCTGTGGTCCCTTCCAACTCTACAATTCTATGATTCCATTATACACCTGGATGTATAATGCCTTATATATCAGCCCCAATCCTCTCCGAAGCCTTGTCATCTAGGAAAGGACAACAGAAATAAAACAAACACAGTGCTAGTTGCCATCAGCAAGCTGGCCTTTAGGGTCCTTGCCACTGTCAATTTGTCTCCTGGTTTTTAAAGGACAACAACGAAGTCCTAGCTTTTCTGCAAATGTCACAGCGAGATAAACAATTTAACATTTATAATGTCTCTCATCTGCAGTTTCTCAGATCTCACTCACCTGCATGCAAACACACACACACACACACACACACACACACACACGTTCCCTGATTGCTCCCAGTGTTAGAAACTCAGATATATAAGCTAAACGCCAAACAGCACCTTAAACCACAGGTTACAGTCGCCACCACAAAGCCATTCCCACCCCTCCCTGGTAAGATTTGTTGTTGCTATTATTATTTTTCATTCCATTTCTATACTGCTTTATATTTTTAAGGGAGGGGGGAAATCTTAAAACGGTTCACAACAACACATTTAAAACAGGCATGTCCAACCAGTCGATCGCAATCTACCAGTCGATCGCAGGCCGTTGCTGGATCGTGTGATCCTCAGTGATTGCCCCAACAACATCAACAACTTCAGTGAAGCCCCAATAAAAGCTCAACAAATTTGGGTATTCCTCCCCCCCCCAAAAAAGCTCACTCTAATGGGTAGATCACTGCCTGGGAGTTGGACATGCCTGCATTAAAACATCAAATCCAGAATAAAACAAATTCTAGCTTCAAGGAAAATATTCCAGACCCTTCTCCAAGTGTTTGATTTGATGTTTTAATGTGCTGTAAACTGCTCTGAGTTTTTTTTATTTAAAATATAAAAGCAGTATAGAAGAAATAATAGTAAGAGTAATAGTAGTAGTAATATCCCGTGGGGAAAATGGCACATAGACACTGATACGATGATACGATACGATACGATACGATACTCTTTATTGTCATTGTCCCATACAGAACAATGAAATTGAAAAAATCTACATCAGACATTCAAAAACCAACAAGCCAGCTATCCCAGCCTGGTTAACCACCTAAAAACTCTGATACCCCATAATTAAATACAATATACTCCCATAGAGACTACCTTACACTGCATTTAAAACCAAAATCGCATTTGGATAGAAACTGTTTCTCAGGCGGCTAGTTCTAGTCTTTATAACCCTGTACCTTCTTCCAGAAGGCAGAAGCTGAAAGAGACCATTTCTATCTCTTTCTCCGCAGCTTTCTTATAGCACCTGGAAGCATAGATTTGATCCAAGGTGGGAAGAGTGCACCCAATTATTCTCTCCGCAGTCTTTACAACCCTGGACAGCATTGTTTTTTCCCTGGCCGTGCAGCTCCCAAACCACACACACAGACCATAAGTTAATACACTCTCCACAGTACAATGGTAAAATGCCATCAACAGGTCCTTTGAGAGATTGTTTTTCTGGAGGAGTCTCAGAAAATATAACCTCTGCTGTGCTCTCTTCATCAGCTCTTTGCTGTTTTCTCCCCAGGTTAGGTCATCTATCAACTCCATTCCCAGAAATCGAAACACCGAGAAAAATGCCAAGGTTGCAAGTTCAATCCCCGTATGGGACAGTTGCAAATTCCTGCATTGCAGGGGGATGGACTAAATGACCCATGATCCTCAGGGTCCCTTTCCAACTCTATAATTCTATGATTTATCTATGATTCTGTTGTGGTGACTGCAACCTAGCTTTAAGGTGCGGCTAGTTTGCATATCTGAGTTTCTAAGACGGACTGTAATCCAGACAAAGTGAGGCAGGAGTGAATCACACCAAAATCAATAAAGTTTTTATACTTGGATATGTGGTTTGCACACGCAACTTGTGCACTTAACTCCCACTTCAATCAAGGGATGACTCGCAGGTGCGAAGCAGCTTGCAGCAAAGACACCAGAATGTTTGCATGTCGAGGTCCCCAGGGCCACCCCAATAACTCACACATCACACAGAATTTTTTGTTTAAGGTTTTTGGCATAATTTTGGCCACAACTTTATTAAAATACAAAAATGTGAGTGGTTGCTTAGGCATCGGTTGCGACTATCTGCCCCCACCATGGGGGACAGACTGACATTCCGCACGATGCAAAAGTCAGAAAAGGAGAATACACTTGGGGGTAGCGTCGGAGCAGGGAAACTGCCCTCAGCCCTCCCCAAATGCAACCAGGAGCTCATTGCTATGACCTGAGACCCCTTGACAGAGTGGACAAGCAATAGTTAGCCCCCAATTCCTTTAACGGAATCCCTTGCAGCAGCAGCATTAGAGGGGCAGGCACAGCCAATCCATGCCCCTCAACCAACCAAACCATAAACTAATGCCTAACCGCAACCTTACAAGTTGTGACGATTTGCTACGCAGTAGGCAAAAACCAAATGGCACCAGCCAGTCTGCCAAATGGACAAAATTCCTACCGGGCCCCTGCCCCAAGAGCAGACGACCCCATGACAGGCATAGCAAGGTCAAAGCGAACAACCCTAAATATAGGGGGGGGGGACAGGCAATCCGATGCACGGGCGAAAAGAGGAAGCCCTAGCCTTGTGCAAGGAGTTTTAGAATTTCTGGCTGTCAATCAGCAAATGGCAACATTAACTTCTTCCCAACAACAAGGGAAGCCCCAATCGCATCAGTGGCCAACGATCAATTAGCCCGCCCCCAACTTTGGAGTGTCCTGGCAGCCCCCACCGCAACACGTGCTCTCCATGAAGGAGAACACACTTTCTCTAACCACGGTTTAAATCACGAGAGGAATGTAGTTGTATGACTAGCACCTAAAGCTTCAGCTGCAAAGTTTGGTGTTCAGGAGAACTAGAAGCGCATCCTGGCTTCCAGACGATTGGGGAAATCATCCGCTTTGCATGCAGACGGTCCCAAGTTCAAGTCACAGTATCACTGCATAGGGCTGGGAATGTCCCCTGCCTGAAACCATGCAGAGATGCTGTCAGTCAGTGTTGACAAAGCCTCTCCTCCTCCCAGAGGGGAGGAGTTGTGAGCAGGAGGAGACTCCTGATTGGTTCTGCTGCCGCGGCCAAGCCTCCCAGCCAACCAATAGGGCTGGCTGGTGGGCGGGGCTAAATGCATTTAAACAGCCGCGGCAGACCTCTTCTCTCATTCTGTTCCTGTTCCTGTTGCGGTGGCCTGCAAGCTGCTATATATGAATGGCCATGTGACTGCACACCCTGACATCCGATTCAGCGATGTGTTTTTTGTTATGTACTGAAGTTCTCACCCTGGGCCAGCAGGGGGATACTGTAGATAGTTATGCAAATAAGGGATCGAAAGTGACGTTCAGTGATTGGATAGTTTTAGAAAATTGTTACAGTTACGTTGTACTGGAGCTCTATATAAGCAGGCTGGCTGAACCCTTCAGTTCAGTTCTGTTCTGGCCTCTGAATAAACAAGAGCTGTTTGAAGAATCGCTGTGTCGTCTGATATGTTCACCCACAACTTAACATTTTTGTTTCGTGACGATGGCGTCCATCTTTCTGATCAAGGAAATGATGTGTGGTTGGCAGACATCATCAGAAGTATTAGGAATTGGTTCCAGCTGTGAGGGTATTGGCGGCGAGCCTTTTGGCTCGGGTGGCAGTTAGGCATTGGAATATGTGTGCTGTGTTGGAGGATTTGGTATGCGCCATCATCTACCCCTCCTCTTTTGGGTATTCCGTTAAAGGAATCCGGCGGTCGTGGATCCTGTCCAATGCGCTGCTGGTGGCTAGGGTCATGGCACGACCCCCGGTGACGTCATAGGGGAGCTTCCAGTTGTATTTGCACCAACAAGTTCCTCCCATTGGTTGTTAACCCTGATATGACTCTCGGCTGTGTGGGGTGGAGTCTTGTATCGCTGTTTCATCCAATGCCTAAGCCAGTACTACTCACATGCTGTAACCAATAAAGGTTGTGGCCTAATTTTGCCCATTAACCTAAAATAACATGTCTGTGTGTCTTATTATAATCCTATGCGGGTGGAGGGTCCTCGACTCACAATGCTGAAGTCGATGGGCCAATGGTCTGACTCTGTGTACGGACATTCCCTAAGTTCCTAACAGCTTGCAGGCAAAAAAGAAAAGTACTCCGTTTATTCAGCAAGACAAATTCTGAACGCTTGATTTAAACGATTTCACATTTTTAAATTTTCCTGATTCTGCCAGGACGTGTTACTCTGCCCAAGGATGTTGACTCTTGCCTGCTGGGAATCGTTTTATATGCTTCCACTGAGTTCTAAAAAAACGATACTGCAGTTTCCAGACAATTCATCTTCCTGAGTCACTGGCTCTTATCAGATAACCGTTGCCGGCGCAGTCCTTTTAACACCTGTCCTTCCCAAATTGGTGTTCTTATCTTGCTATTATGGTAAGGTTAAACCGATAGTTCTGCTTCTTGCGTTCCATGTGAGAAACCTTAGTGCATTTTCCCAGCAAAGAATACAGAATGCCAGGATCAGTAAACAGGAGAACCAAACACTAATAAAGCTTTTTCCTAAACTGTGCTGCACACTACAGGGCTGCCGGCTTGAACGCCAGGTTTCCCCTCTTGAGGGGGAAAAAAAACCTCCCTGCACATAGAAAATTAGCACACCCATCACCCTGACATGCTACTCTTCTATGTGCAGGGAATGTTTGCATGTGGGGTTAGCAAACAAGCATGTGACTCGCACTTCTGTGGCCCAAAGTGTCATGTTCTTTGAAAACCTTTGTCTCTTTATACTGCTGATTGTACTACAGCTGGATCTAGACACATAAAGAAAAAGTTTCAGGAAAAGCGTGTTGTAAACCTCATAATGGGAACTAACATTGGCGAAAGACGGAACTCTGGTGTCACCGTGTTATAACACATTTAAAGCGCTTTTTCTTTACTAATGTAAAGAAAGGACCATAAA